CCCCCACCCATGCGCTCTTTTGCGCTAAAACCAACCAACCTTAAAAAAAATAGTAGTAAGAGCATAGCATAACATGAGAGTGGGAGGACATTACAGTTAAGCAGCCCCAGCCCCTCCACCAAGCCCACCCAAGTGGTTCTATGAGTAAAACAATCCCTATATCTGAGGGCATCACTGTTTCTAAGAGAAATTAGCTGCTTCCTCAAAACTGAAACATCTATCCCTCTCAGCAAGGCAGACTGGGCATTTGGAACAATAGCCATTTCCATGCCTTAGAGCCACGGTTCTCAAACACTGGTGTCAAGGAGCATCACCTGATGCACTTGTTTAAAATGAATATTCCTGTGTCCTTTCTTCATAGAGTCTGATTATGTGGGTTGAGGGTAGAGCCTCAGATCTTATAACCAGGCTCTCCCGGTATTCCCCATGCCAGGGGTGTGCAAACTTGACATTACACGCGCTGTTTGCAACAGTTGTCACTGCCACCATGTATACCATGGCTTTGCTCCTATAGATGGATGGCTGGTCAAAGTGACATCAAGTAAATAATTTTGCCAACATTTCTCTATTTGGAAAAGGTAAATGACTCTGCGACGTATGGTTTGATTTCATATATACTGTCACAATTTGATCAATGGCAATAACTTCTTCAGCTCTAGAGATCTTCCTAGGATCTTTGAAGATTTCATTTAGGCCATTCTTTAAAAGGAGAAGATATTACCATTAATCAAGTCTAATGAATAAGGGTGCCCGCGTACCAACTCCTACAAAAAAAGAGAAACACTGAAATCATACATGTGAATTTAACATTTTGATGTGCTCTGTGTACCACCCAAACAATAAACGTAGGGATAGTCCTAGAGATATTCTAGTTTAAAGCCTTTATTTTAGATGAAGAAACTAGAACCTAAAAAAAGTGAAGTGTCTTGCCCAAGAACACACAGAAGAACTAAAACTGTCTCCTTAATGAAGCTCCATATCCTCTGGTCTGTCTTTATATTGTCAGGAATTCACAGGTGGCTGGGCAGGAGCAGACGAGATCCCAGTTAAAATCACCATCAGTGTCAGTTCCTGAGCACAGACTGCCTGAGAGTTGAATACCTGGCCCCCCAAATATGCTAAGAGTCAAGAATAAATCATCTGGGATGAAACCCTTGCTCTAGATCAGAAACCCTATGTGTGACCTGCAGGCATATAATAAGTATCCTTTTCACAGAAGAGACACTTAAGTCTGTATGTAGCTATAAAGTTTGAGAAATTCAAGTAAAAAATAATTTCTGGAGGAAAGGGGAGTGTACTGACCTCTTGTGCTCATTGACCAAATGACGTGGCCAAGGTTACACACAATAAACTCAAGATAGGTCTGCAGAGAACAGTGATGTCCTGACTCTGTGACATATGGTTTAGCTCCAGCCACACTGTCTCCCAGCCGAATCTTCCCTGTTAACTGATTTATGGTCATAGGTACCGGGAGGCAGAACCAAAAGTCTAAGACTATATGGCTAATTCAAAATTTATTAGAATTCAAGGTGAGAGTTAAAAGCAAAAATTCCTACTAGAAATCTGATCTAAGGTGTATATGTAGGAAGATATAGATATATATATATATATATATATATGTAATTATCAACATGTCTTAGTTTATGCCAATCACATGGGAAATCTGATTTGTACAGGTTTATTTAATGGGCCAAGTTCTGCATATGATTACAACCCCTCTGAGACCACAGTGGTAGTTACTGCTTGGATTTTACTTTGGGGAATGGTATAGAAGTGGCTTTTGCCTTGTTCAACCATAAGCAGGTTATGGGCTTAGTGTTCAGGGTAAGGCTTGGCAGTGCCTAACATATGGTGCGTGATGTGTTGCTCTTTGCAACGAAGCAGCAAAGCAGTGATAGAAAGTAATTTGGGGAGATTCCATCATACTTTATTTGAAAAACAGAGTTGTCTCTGATGGAGCCAAGGTTAATGGTTTGGATTTGCATATGTCTCTATAATTTTTGCGCAGCTTGTGAATTAAAACAGACAAAAGGCCTGATGTAGAATCCAGGTAAATAAAACCTACCAGACTCCAGAAGGCCCCAAATAGGTTTCATTTATGTGACAAGCTAGTGACTTTGGCCACTAATTTTGTAGGGAAGCCAGAGAAAGGCATTTGGAAAACAGGAGCCTGTTATGACAAGAATTCCTTCAATATTCACAACAGGCTATGGGGAAAATGAGGGAGGGAGATATCCCTGCAGACCCAGGTGTGCCCTGTGTTTCAGGCAAAAGGACTGGTGTGGGTATTCAGGGTCCCTGAGCCCAGGAATTTTTGATGTTATGCCTCATTCCCTTCTGGCACAATGGCAGAAACCTCCAGAAAGTCTAGGGGTTGAGCGGAGACTGGGCACCCAGGAAGTCCAGGGTGCCCTGTAGCACCTGCCAGGGGAGGTAAGCAGGTGTGGCCCAGCGCCAGGCTGCCTGCCCCCGCAGCATGGGCAGGGGACGTCCCCGTCCCGACGGCCCAGCCTAACACGGCCATCTGTTCGCCCCCAGCAGGTGCCGGCTGCCATGTCAGCACAGAACAGCATCTCAGGTGTTCCTCAGCAGCAGCTGAGCTGTGGGCTGCCTTCTCCTGCCTTCCACTCTTCTCCTTTACTTTCCTTGCTCAGCTGCCTTGAAAAAGAAAAGCAGAACTTCATTTTTTTTTTTTTTTGAGGCTGCTGCTGCAGCTCCTGATAACTCTTCATAACGAAGTGCAAGGGACCATTAAGATTTGTCTCGCTTGGGCTTTGACTCACCAGCCTCCAAAACAGTCCTCACTGGGCTGCAGTGTGTGATCTGAACACACAGAGCCACGCACGTCCAGGCGGGTGGCTGAGCAGACTGCCGACCCCTTCTGCAGTCTTTGCTCTGAGACAGGAAAGAGCACCCTGCAAGAACCTGTGTCGGTGTTTCCGAGTGGAAGGAACAGGGCAATCTGAACTGAGGAAGGGAAAACTTTCATCTTCCTGGGAGCTGCAGTGTGGTGCGGACAGAGAATGGGCTCCAAAAGTGAATCAGTTTGGTTTAAAATTATCCTTCTTCTACTGACCTGTCCCAGAGGTGCTCCCAAATCATAAAAGGGGAACAGCAGCCTCTTTAAAGCTGATAAGGGAGTTGAATGGGAACACACGTGTAATATGTGTAGGATAGTGCCTGGTACAGAGGAAGCAGTGTTTGCCTGAGTTTAATTATAGAACAGTAAGTAAAACCTGCTTTTCCATTGCAAAGGTCAGGTTTAATGAGATGGGGCCCTCCATGTTGACTGACTTCCTTTCAAAAAAAGAAAGGGGGGGGCGGATACCGCTTCTGCAGTAACCTCTGAGCAGCCTGAATAACCTACTTACCAGAGTAAAGCACAAAAATCTACAGGCTGATATAAGCTCACATGCCTTATGTATCATCCCCATTGGGGATTTACCGAAGATCAGTGGTGGCAACAGAATAGCAACAGAGGGGAGAAAAGTAGTCCCGATAGCCCACAAGCCTGTGCGTGCGCAGAGCATCCCGAGAACGTCCAGAGGACCAGAGCAGATGACACGACGATACCTTGCTCTAATAGCATCCCTGCCATTGCTGGCTCTGCAAATGTGAGTTCGATCTGACACTTACTCACATCTTCTATAAACCTTCTGTGCAAGGTATTCTGCCAAGGTAGCTGAGAGGACTCTGACATTATTAACGAGACAATTACATAGAAAAGAAACGGAATATCTTGCAAGTTCTATCTACGTGCTTAATAAAGGGAGCCATATCAGATCCTGCCTCAACTTTTAGTAAACTGATCTAGCCTGCTTTCCATTGTCTTCGCAAAGCAACAAAAAAGAGCTACTCTTACTTTGTACCAAGAAAGATAAACAGTTCACATATAGTGTTTCAGGTTAACAGTACCCTGAATTGGGTGTCACTATCCCCATTTCACAGATTAAAAAATTGGAGGCTCGGAGAAATTGAGTAATCTGCCTGGGGTTGCACATTCCATTGTGAAGGCAGGATTTGAAACCTTCTGGCTCAAACATGCTTGAAATCCCTATGCTCTCCTCATCAAGAAACTCCTTGTCCGACTCCTTGCATGGGCCGTGATTTTCCTCCCTTCAGAAAAAGATGCACTCGGGATTATTGGTGAACAAAGCTTTGCAGGTGGCCATTGGTATGCATGGCATAGTGAAAGGTGAGATGGTACAGTGATAAAGCATCTGTAGTGAAGGCAAGAGACCCACGTGCCAGCCCTAAAATGCCGCCTTCCTTGTTGTGTGATGTTGCACCCATTACTTATTGTCCCAAGGCCAATGTCCTCACCTACAAAGTGCCCTCGCCTTACAAAATTGTCACAGTCCGTGCAATAATATAGGTGCGTCAGCTTTCCTATCCATAAGGCTCTAGGCCAACGCCAGCTCTTACTATGGCTCAGCTAGCTTCAGTTCCACTGCTGATTTGCTCTTGAAGCTTTGGAAGGATCTCCTGATGCCTCACTTTTCTCATCTGTGAACTAGAGCTAATGATACAGAACCTTTTAGTAATACCCTCCAGCAGCCATTCACAAACTTTAGCGACCTACCATCTTTTGGGAGGTTGTTACAATGGATTCCTGGGCCCTGGTGATCCTGCTCCATCCCAGCTGGATGGAGCCTTGTGCTGTTCACTCTTACGATTCTGATGTCAACGGGCCACGATCACTCTGAAAAATACTGCCCTGCAAGATCAATATGACAAAGAACTGTGGTACTTGAGGGTAAAGAACTTGACCAAGATCATCTGGTCAGTAACACAGCCAACACCAAACCTTTGATTTCTGAGGTCTCGATCCTGTCGTCCTGACCACAGGACCGGGACCCCAGAGAACAGCAAAACCCTCTCCTGGCCACTGGGTTTCCACTGGGGGATTGGATCCTAGAGGACACGGCTGAACCTTCCAGCGCACCACAGGCCTCTTTAAAATACCGAGTGTCACTGCCTTTTTTCTTTTTCCTCCACAGACACATTTGCAAGCAAAGTGGCAGCCACCCAGGACCAGTATGCAGATGCGTCCATAGGTAACGTCACCGGCAGCAACGCGGTGAACGTCTTCCTGGGGATCGGCGTGGCCTGGTCCATCGCTGCCATCTACCATGCAGCCAATGGGGAACAGTTCAAAGTGTCCCCTGGCACGCTAGCTTTCTCTGTCACTCTCTTCACCATTTTTGCTTTCATCAATGTGGGGGTGCTGCTGTATCGGCGGAGGCCGGAAATTGGAGGTGAGCTGGGTGGGCCCCGGACTGCCAAGCTCCTCACATCCTGCCTCTTCGTGCTCCTATGGCTCTTGTACATTTTCTTCTCCTCCCTGGAGGCCTACTGCCACATAAAAGGCTTCTAAAGGAACAATCAGATATAGTAAATTTATATATATATATACGTATATATATACATAAAATATTATGTATAATGAACAGAGGAAACTGACATTTGTCCTGTTCCCTTACCTGCTGATGGAATCCAGCTTCAAGAGCATACTCTGTGCTAGGGCCGAAGTGAGAAACCATCACCTCCCATTCCCAGGGGCATCGTCACATTGAACAAAGGCGTGGAGGCAGGGGCATCTGTGCAGCTCAGCCCAGAAGGACTGTGTTCTCTCCAGGTTCATAAATCGTTAAGTCTTTGATTTTGTTTTCTGTTTCTGCTTGGTTTTGGTGGGGGCTGGGAGGTGGCTGATGTTTGACTTTTGTGTTCTGTCGTTTTGTTGGGAGGGTCAAAGCTTTTGTTTCTCTGGTGGGAGGTGATGACCAATCTAAATGCAAATGGGTTTTTGGTGAAAATTTAAATCATTACAATTACGCTCTCCAAACACTTTGAAAAATTATTTTGGATTAAGAAAGGATATGGACATGGAAAAGCAGCATGTCTTCACTAGGTCACTAAATTTCATGCTTATCTCTGGAACATGAGCAGAGGTAAAGCTGCCTCTGAGAAGCAGCATGGGAGCTCGAATGCAGCCAGGAAGAGTGATGGTTCTAGATACAGTCGGATATTTAAAGATAGGATGCCTGGCACTCTTGTTCAACAGGTACAGGAATAATGTGCCTCGATTCCCAAGAACATGCAAAATCATTTATTTCTTATCTCTTTAGCTCTGGACTGTGATTAGCAAGGCCCTCATTCTGGTTTTCCAGCCTGGCTAGCCACCCCCTGCCCAGGCCCCCATCCCAAACCTCCTCCTCCTGCCCACCACCTCTCATGCAAATAGGAATAACCCCACTCAAAAAGCATATCATCCTTTTCCATTTGCATCACTGTGTCCCAGTCCCATGTTTGCTGTTGCCTGGGATCGTTCGTCAGTTTCATTTTCAAAAGCATCCATGGCTTGCACAGTCCTGTTCCAGTCATGACTGAACATTGGCTCCTTCTTCATGTGCCTGTTTGGGAATGTTGTTGTGATACCTGTTACACAGTGCATGGATGAAAAACAAAATAAGTGTATCTGTATATAGTAGAGTGTAGCGTGTACTGTTCTCCCATCCAGCAATGTTGACTGGACATTGACGACATAAGTGAGTTTCCTTTTCACCTGAGTTGTAACTTTCGTGTTGTTGTTGAGTTTGATTTTACTAAGGACAAAAGGAGAAAATGGCTTATTGTTCATGGACCTGCACATTCACTTCTAAGAAGCAATAACAGTTCACTGGGAAGTTAAAGCTATTGAGAGGACAGCAGGCAAACTACCAAGTATCTGCATGGAAAATTAGCCATGTGGAATACACCAGAGGCCTCTAAACAGTCACCTGTTGATTCTGGAAGGCCAAGGAGAGAGGTATAGAGCAGTGGCTGGATTCGAAGTGCCCGGGCTTTGAGAGCCTCCGTTTCCATGACACCCCTGCCCCTAAAGTATTTATTTCACTTCTGCTCTGTCTGGCACAGATGGTAGATAGTGGTTTGTTCATTTTATTTTTTTATGTAAAAGGCTATTTTGAGCCCTGTTTCTTTCATCGCCCAGACTCCTCTGATTGTATCGGCAGTTCCTGAGTAGGAAAGGAGCCAGGGAGACCAATGGGTCTTTACAAGTGCATCTTCTGCACTTATGACTAAGGAGTAAGCAATTAAATGAGATTAGTGCCTCCCAGGAGGATTGCGCTGGGAGGTTTTTCACCCTGGAAAAGGAATGGCTCTTTCTATTTCAAAATACCAAAGAGCAAGGATAAACCCAACATTCCAAAGTAGTGAATCCAGTAATGAGGAAAAATGGAATGACGTTGGTCCCGCCTCAGAGACTTCTCTATCTATAAAGAATCCCAGGCCAGAGACACTGCTGGCCCTTTGTATTGATTCAAAGATACTTAAGAGATAAAAGCTGTTCAGAGTTATTTCCTCTTTTTCTACTCAGTAATCATGATCATTCATCATTTAATAAACATTTGGTGACTGAATGAATAATTAAATGCTGGTTACTACTCAATATGCCAGGTACTGTGCTACTCTTGGGGCCTAAACCATGAACAAGATAGCCCAGATCCCTGCCCTCAGGGGGCTCACAGCTAATGTGATTGTGATTTCCATGGGTAAAAGTTAGCACAGCCATATGGAAACAGTTTTATCTTGCAAGGAAAAACACAATTACAAAACTCTTAACATAAACATGTTGAAATTGTACCAATACAGTTGTCCAAATATCTAAGATTTTAACCAAGAGATAAAGCACAGATTAGGGGCGGAAGCATCCTATGTATCTTTGGCTGATCTTGCAGATATATACACCTCCCCATCGTAAGCCAAGAAAGGCAGTCATGTTGGTGATCCAGATGACTGAAAAGGTCCAGTTAACCCCAGTTTTTATCTTTGTTGGTCAACAGTACTTTTCTACGCCCCACACCTCTACAGTTCCTCGTATCTCCAGGAGACTCACCCCAGCAGGCCATGGCCCAACACTGTGGGTCTAAGTCTTTTGGGGGCACATTCTAACCCATTTTTTTTTTTAAGATGTACTAAATGGAAAGCTAGCCTAGAAAACACCAAGTAAATATAGTCCAAGGATGTGGGTTGTTTAAACATTAGATTTTGCACTCAATTTTAGCCATATCTGGAACGTCGATAATCCCATAGCAAATTTTCACCGAGGACTTTCAGAAATTCTTGCCATTGAATTTTAATTTCAAAGCTTTTTGGTTTGTTTGCTTTTTCAAATTTCATGTTATAGAGAAAATATGATTCTGATTGTTCAGAGTTGTTAATAATTGTAGTTGTGTAAAATTATTCCATTTTATTTTGTGTGTATTGTGCACAGCTTTAGGGGGGAAGTGCACGAATTGTGCCGTTCCTTATAAATGGTACACATTATTGACACAGACAAATAAAGTTTCTAATTGTTTCTGATTTAATCACTAGTGATACAGCATAATCTGTATGGAATGTTTCCTCTCATTGTCATTGACTTCATTTTTGTTTTCATGTTTTGAAGAAATAAAGACCAAAAAGGTATGATTGTGCAGTTGGTATCCTCATCCAAAAGAAAGAAAACAGATACCCAGTATTCAGACTCTTGCAAATGTCAACCCTTTGGTCATACAAGTTTTCCTTTTTAATGTCCCAAGAGAGCAGAGTGTGAGAATATGTGTCTATCTGATGGTACGAAGATAAATGTTGGATGTTTCTCCATTTCACTAATTGTTTTGTTTTGTTTTTTTTTACATCTTTTAGCACCACTTTATCCTTTCTGCAGCCAAGAACATGAACCTATAAACAGTTACACATCAGACCACTTTTTAGCAGAATATTACAGCAAATAAATCAATCCCAATGAAACTGATCAGAAGTAACTAGTTGTTTCCTAAGGGATACTTAGTATCATATACTGTATTCCTCTTGATTCCCCAAAAAACTTCTGTAATAATTTCTGATTAATTACCTGTTATTGACTTTATGTATCATATAGTCAAGAGTATAGGAAGAGGTGACACCAGAAATCAGCATTTGTGGAAAAAAAGAAATGTGACCTCTCATTTGTGTACTTATTTGCAAGCCTACATTAATAACAGTGGATTCAGTTCTTATAATAGAATCTGTCCACTATGTACATGTAAATAATTTATTCATCTGATCATCTTTTTAAAATTTGCTTTGAATTCATTATGTCTATATATGATTATGTGTGGCACACTTTCACATATGAAGGAAATAAGGTATAACTTAAATATTTTCTTGGATCAATAATTAATGTCTCCTAGTCACCAATCTTTGGTTTAACACAAAATGAGCAGCCAACATTTATTTCTTCAAATACCAAAGACAGTAATTCAATGACCAGAGTAGTCTTCACTGTTTAACTACCCTTCAACAAAATGTCATGGCTCAATGATTCGCAACCTCTTATAAGCTAATTTTAGTTCAAAGATAATGAATGATTCAAGCCCACCACCAGTGAAGATTTCAGAGAGCTTTGCTTTCTATACAGAATAAAAGCAACAAGTAAAACTGTTTTTCAAAGAAAACAAAATATGCTCTTTTAAACCACCCTGCAGGTATTCTGATAGGTGGATCCCATTCACAATGAGAATCCCTAACACAGCATCTTTCCCCCAGTGGTCTCACAGGTAACAGAAGCACTTTGCCTTTTCCACACAGGGCTAGATTCCTTGTTGATTCCCCAGCCCAGGATCCCTGATCCTAATCTGTCAAAATAGAGATTGACTGGTTTGTTCTACACACATCTGCAATTAGAAAAACAATAAATTTCCTCAGGTAGATGATGAAGCCTTCCATTCTCTTAACAGTGACAAAACGTCACCGTGTCAAGAATGTAAATCAGCCCCTTTAAGACTTCTTTTAAAAAGTGTTTCCTGGTTCAAGATGTGTGTCTCTTTTGATTCTGGTTTTCTGTCTCTGATCTTGGGCAGTTGCATTCAGAGCAAGTAGAGTATAGTTTTGTAACTTCAAGAATATTTGGCCGTGTCATGATTGACAATGCACAACCTTAAATCTCTCCCAAACTTACAAGTGGCACTCACAGCTTTTGTTATAGTAATCACTTCCCTTGGCGAAAGCATTGTAGCTATTGGTAAAATGTAGCATTTTAACTGATAAACAAGTGAGTGAATTATGTAGAAGAGCTTCACACAATCATATTTTTCTTACAGAGAAAGAAAGATGCTGTTATGAGTGCATTTATTAGCTTTCATTCAGATCTACCTACAGATTTTTGTTAATGGACTGCATTTCTGCTCTTCAATATTACATTTCAGTCACTTCTAGCTATGTTGTCTTCCACCCAACACATTGTAAGTGTTCGGTGGTCCAGATGGTATTCCACCTACAAGGACACAGGGAGGGGAAACAATTGCACTAGTTAGATATTTCATTGTTGGAACTTAATCAGGCCATGGTTAATCACCTCCCAAGGCAGAGAATGTCCCATAGAAAGAACAACCACGAGAGCTAGGTCTCCCAAGGGAGAGCACACTTCAGCTTTCCAGCCCACAAGAACTAGTGGGTAGCTTCCTATGACTTTTCCCCCTGCCTGCCAAGATGTCCAAAAAGATGTCCTCAGAGGCTCTACCAATTTTCACTTTTGTCAAAGTTCCTCTGATTTAATCTGAGGGAACTTTAAATAAAGTCATTCTATTACTATTTTGATGTATTTGTAGGAAAACATTACTTCATGACTTCAAAAGGCAACAGGACTTTGTAGTTCAAACCACAACTCTTATCTTTACAAGGAAGACTTGCTTGCCCAGAATCACCCTATCTGTAATCAGTGAAGTACTTGACCTACTCACATTCTCTAGAATCATGCTGTCCTAACTTTATCAAAGATCTGGAGAGGGATTCACTTTGTAATATGCAATCTTAGTCTTTCTTTTCCCTAATTCCAAACATTGTATTTGTTCCATGCTTATTCCCATCATATTCATCACCCTTAGTAATGCTATTACCTCTCAGCGGTAATACCTCAGAGAGGCTCATGATAAAGTGCTCTGGGCATGTTTTTCTGAAAGTGAACGTATCATAGGAAGACACAAATATAATGGCATTCTACTTGGAAAACAATCATTTGGTATGTATCTCTATAAATGTTTAGGAGAGATTATACCCTATACCTACCCACTACAGCAGTATTGATTTTCCTCTCTGGATCACATTTTTCATGCTTCAGTGCCATCTACCTAGCCTTTTATCCTACTGATAGATGTAGGTATGGATCAGGATTAAGGAGCCCACCCTAACACACACAGACACACACTCACACTCAGCTCCTACGAAAGTTTCTACAAAGAAGTATGTAAACATAGAAAAACAATGTATAGCTTCCATGCCTCCAAAAAATGAGTGGGTCAAATGTTTATCTGTGGGTATTATATTCCTGATAGGCAAATGACAGCAAAATTTCACATTAATAAGCAAACACACCAAAAGAGAACTTAGCTAACTTCAACTTACGGACTCGATTTTGACAGTTAATGAACAGCCCAGCCCTCCTAATTTGTTGCCTGCAAAGACAGATCTACCTAGCCAAATCCAAGAGTGTACTGGGGGTGACAGGGGATTTAATATACTAGCAGCCCTCTATATTGGAAATTGTTTATTCACCAAGGAGGATCTGGCCCAGAGATTTCCAAAGACCTCTCTCTACATTCCCAAGTTGAAATAACCCACTTTTAATTCACAGAACTTTTTATGAGACCCCTTGAACCCACATGGTAGGACAAGAGATAAATTCTCTAGGGAGAGCTTTCTTAAAAATGCGATTCTGTTTGTTGTGGCCCTATTTTCTCATGTGAAGATCCTATTCTTTCTAATTGGAAGGAACAATTCTAATAACCAAATATATAACCGCTTTTCAAAATGTTTCACTTAAAAAATTAACTTTATAAATACTTAAAAGTTATATGACCTAGCCAGTTCAGAGAAAAATAATTTTCTCTATATGTACATTTCTCTACCTTCTTATACTTAACATTAAACTTTGAAAAATGCTCCAAAGAAGAAATCTTGAAAGATTTTACATTCTAATAATGTTCATGTAAGTGAATAATATGGCTAAAATAATGTTTTAGGAGACAATTATCTATGTTTTGACAGAACACACTTAAAAATGAGAGAATTTAGCACAAATGTGTGAGGTAATATTTCATCACAAATTACTCTTCTCTAAAATATTTGAAAGTCATTAACCCTAACGAAGATACATTTCCAGTTTCCAAAAACACTAGTACAATTTCAGCTTGTGATCTGTTTTTATATGAAAATCAAAGCTGGGCATACATAACTTTTGACTTTGGCAAACCCCCCCCCCCACAAAAGTATGCTTTTGGCCCTTTTCCATATTACTGAGTTATTTTGTGGAATACACTGGATCTCTATAGGTGTCTCATAAAAATGCCTTCAATAATTTCCTTTTTTTTTAGGCCAAGAAGTTTCTAAATTTTAGAACTTAACTTGACAATTTAATTTATAAAAGGCTGATTCCATTTTGACGTTATTAATATTTCATAATTTTAACATTTTAAATAATCATCAGATGGGATATTGAGCTTGAGTCTAACCCAAATAAACAATAAAGCCCAGAAAGACCTACCAGTAGTTAAAAGGCTTCTGAAAAACTGGTCTTTTCATGCAAAGCAAATAGGAGGGCTGTTTTGATCTTTTTTTTCTACCAGAGGTTGCCATTTCAACGAGTGTAAAAACAAAAAGTATTTGAAGTGGTAGTTTGAAGATTATTTTTATAAGAATTACATACAATTTCAGCATTAACTCTCCTCTATCCCATCTTTTCCTAGGGCACAGAGATACATACATAAATACAAAAACAGACAATGTACGTCAAATAACTTGAACTACATTTTTGGATGTCTAAGATTACCCTAAAAGCCCATGTCAGGTTAAGTATTCCTTTTATCACATGTCTTTTATAAATGAAAAAAGGGAGAGAAATACAGAAGGAAACACATTCCTGATTTTCTTTTTTTGTGAAAGATGCACATTCAAAGTTGTTTGAAAACTGCCTAGAATGTTAATTATATGGATCCTTCTAAAAACGTAAGTAGATCTTTCAAAGAAAAAAATTTCATTTGTCTTCCCTTCATTTAGCAAGCATTTCTGATAGAAAGTCTTTAGGATCAATTAGGGCGCTCCTCTGACTTTTCCAATTACCTTCTGTTATTTGGAGGGTGTTGAAAACTGCTCTTGAAAAAAAATTATGCTCGTCTAGGTCAAATCCTGGGGGATTAAAAGGATGAGATTTTATATTTTCCCTGGCAACACAGCACTGAGCAGGCAGGCTCCCCTACATCACTTGACATTTTCTAGAAATGTGTTTTGGCACAACAGGAACAAAGGAATGAGACTCCTACCCACTTCTGCCATAAAATCCTAATCATTTAACACCACAGACCCTCCACTAGCTATAATTTAACTTAGATATTTTCACCGAAGCAACACTCAACTTTCAAATTTTCATATACACTGGTTGTGTGGTGCCTAGCATTTTCCCTCCAAGATCTTATTAACAGGCAAACTGACCCTTTCAACTAACGAGTAATGAAATTTCTCCAAGGGGTCCAGTCAGGGTGAGGAGTGAGTAGAGAGAGGGGTAGTAATATTGATGTCAGATCATTGGAACCTATTTAACCAACTGCTTCATTACATATTGGACCTCGTTTGGGAC